AGGCATGTGCCATCACCCCAGGGCAGGAGCCACCCATGCGCCCGGGGCTGGCACCTGCCGCACACCCGGGGGCGGGGCCAGCCCAGATTGCTCCGTGGGTGCACATAAATGCTCCGTGGGTGCACATAAATGGCTCCGTGGGTGCCATGGCGCCCGCGGGCACCGCATTGGGACCACTGATTTACATCTTTTGTTAGTCTATAAAGTGCTACCAGACTATTTGTTGTTTTTTAAGTTTGTTAGTTTTTAAAAAAACTTTAAAAACAACAGATAGTCTAGCAGCACCTTAAAGACTAACAAAACATGTAAATGGTATCATGAGCTTTCATGGGTACAGCTAACTTCTTCAGATGACGATAGGATAACAAGCCATGTGGATAAGGGAGAAGCGGTGGATGTCATATACCTAGACTTTAGTAAGGCATTTGATACGGTCTCGCATGATATTCTTATTGATAAACTAGGCAAATATAACTTAGATAGGGCCACGATAAGGTGGGTGCATAATTGGCTGGATAACCATAGTCAGAGAGTTGTTGTTAACGGTGCTAAATCCTGCTGGAAAGGGATAACAAGTGAAGTTCCTCAAGGGTCTGTTTTGGGACCCGTACTGTTCAATATCTTCATCAATGATGTAGATATTGGGATAGAGAGTACGCTTATTAAGTTTGCAGATGATACCAAACTGGGTGGGATTGCAACTTCTTTGGAGGATAGGGACATAATTCAAAACGACCTTAGCAAGTTAGAGAAATGGTCAGAGGTAAACAGGATGAGGTTTAATAAAGAGAAATGCAAAGTGCTCCACTTAGGAAGGAACAATCAGTTCCATACATACAAGATGGGAAGCGACTGTCTAGGAAGGAGCATGGCAGAAAGGGATCTAGGGGTCATAGTGGACCACAAGTTGAATATGAGTCAACAGTGTGATGCTGTTGCAAAAAAAGCAAATATGATTCTAGGTTGTATCAACAGGTGTGTTGTAAGCAAAACTCGTGAAGTCATTCTGCCGCTCTACTCTGCACTAGTTAGGCCTCAGCTGGAGTACTGTGTCCAGTTCTGGGCACCACATTTCAAGAAAGATGTGGAGAAATTGGAAAGGGTACAGAGAAGAGCGACAAGAATGATTAAAGGTCTAGAGAACATGACCTATGAAGCCAGGCTTCATGAACTGGGCTTGTTTAGTTTGGAAAAAAGAAGATTAAGGGGGGACATGATAGCGGTTTTCAAATATCTAAAAGGGTGTCACAAGGAGGAAGGAGAAAATTTGTTCCTCTTGGTTTCTGAGGACAGGACAAGGAGTAATGGGCTTAAAGTGCAGCAGGGGAGGTTTAGATTGGACATTAGGAAAAAATTCCTAACTGTCAGGGTGGTCAAATATTGGAATAAATTGCCAAGGGAGGTGGTGGAATCTCCCTCTCTGGAGATATTTAAGAACAGGTTAGATAGACATCTGTCAGGGATGGTGTAGACGGAGCTTGATCCTGCCTTGAGGGCGGGGGGCTGGACTCGATGACCTCTCGAGGTCCCTTCCAGTCCTATTATTCTATGATTCTATGATTCTATAAGTCCAGATCCAAGAATAAATAAGGGAAGGTTGGAGGGGGGAAGAAAAAAATAGAAAAAAATTGTGAATTAGATTGTTCAAGTTACAAGAGGCTAATAAGAACAATTCACACCCTCTATAAGTGCCCATTATTTGCACTTATAGAGGTGCAAATTGTTCTTATAAATCCAAACAGTTATTCATACCATAAATGTGGGGGGACTGGTTGGCTGTCCCTTCAGTGGAGGGTCTTACTTTTGGTGGTGGTGGGTAATAACTAGAAAATTGCATGAAACAATTTAGTCATTATTTAACAACAATGAAAATGTTATTAGAAGTTTAGTACATATTGTATTAGAGTGTGCTCTTTAGTTTGTAACATCATATTCCTACCTGGTCATTGTTGCTGGAAAATAAACATATTACTTTCCAGTATTCACAGTTATTAACTTTCGTTTTCTTATATAGGAAATTTGAATTTTGTAAAAAAGGTAAGTTATTTAATCTGGGGGAGGGATTTTTGGGGGCTTGGTTATTTTTGGATAATTGCTCTTGCTCTAGTTAGCACACAGTGATATCTGAGATGCTATATTGTTTCAAATGCTCTCTTAACCTTTAGCAGATGTTGTAATAGGTCGCCATCATACTTATAGCACCTGGAAGAAAATGATTTTTTTTTATACTGTGATGTTGCATGTTTAACATGTTGATAGGTACATGATGCAACATATATAGCAGGAGTGGGCAATAATTTTTGGTGGGCAGCAATTCTAAGAGTTTGGAAAGTGGTCAAGGTTCACACTTCTCTGTGAAGGGGGTCTAGGATGGAGATCAGGTACAGAAGGGTGCATGGGGTAAGGGATGGAATGCAGGAGATAGTGTGAAGTATGAGAGGGAGTTTGGCTGAAGGAGGGGATTGTGACCTGGGTCAGGAGATTGGGGTATAGAGTCAGTATGAGGGAGTTTGGCTGAAGGAGGGGATTGTGACCTGGGTCAGGAGATTGGGATATAGAGTCAGAGAGGGGATATGGGCGCAGGAGAGGATTCTGGCCTGGGGGAGGGGTGTAGAAGAGTCTGGGAGGGAGTTGTGACCTGGGGCAGGAGGGTCCAGAAGGTTTTGATGGTGACCTGGGAAGGGAGTTGGGATGTGGGAGAGGCAGGGGTGCTGGAGACAGGCTCTGGCTGGGAGGCTCTTATTTAAGCATCTCTTGGCCAGCAGCCAGCAGTCCTGCAGCACCTCAAAGGCAGATGGGGCTTCCTGCCTGCTGTAGCCCTAGATCACTTAAAACTGCAGGCTCTCCCTCAGTGTGGCTCTCAGCCCCATCCCCCAGGCCAATCTCTCAGCTCCTAATGGCTTGTTGTTTCCAGCCAATAGGAGCTGAGGATTGGGCTGGGAGAGGGAGATCACACAAAACCTCTCCCTTCCTCCAGAGCAGAGGCACATGGAGCAGCCCTGTGCTTAAAACAGCAGCTGCTGCATGCCTGAGGATCCCAGCAAGGGGGTTCATAGGCCAGATCTGGTGGCTTGGCAGCCCGGGAGACATATCTTGTCTACTTATGATGTATAGGTATAGAATACTAGGACTGGAAGGGACCTAGAGAGGCCGTTGAGTCCAGTCTAACTTTTTCCTAATGTCCAATCTAAACCTTCCTTGCTGCAGTTTAAGCCCGTTGCTTCTTGTTCTATCCTAAGAGGCCAGGAAGAACAATTTTTCTCCCTCCTGCTTGTGACACCCTTTTAGATACCTGAAAACCGCTATCATGTCCCCTCTCAATCTTCTCTTTTCCAAACTAAACAAGCCCAGTTCTTCCTTCATAGGTCATGCTCTCTAAACCTTTAAATATTAATGAGAAAGTGAGAACAGCAAATAATGCTGTTCACTTTGGTTACTGTTTCCATTTTAAGAACACTGGATAATTGTAGGTGCATTTTAGAAGTATCTATGTACTTTTAAGCCAGATATGAGAGTCTTCCTCTCTTTTCCTCTTCAGTTACTTCTCAAGATTGTAAGATTTACAAGTTCCATGGAAGGTATGCCTTTGATCTTGGCAGAGAACTCTTTGCAGAGCTTGCCAGTAAAGAGTCTAGAGAATGTAATGGACAGTTTTAAAGAAAAATAATGTTTAGTTCTTTTTGGCTGGAAGGACTGTGGCTGAGATTCAAGGCCTCTTGGATATGTTGAGAATTGAATGGAAGAAAAAAATCTGAGGAGGTCCTCATAGGTATGGTCGACCATCCTAGATATCTGGAAAATTATTCTATTAAGAAGTGCTGGTCACACCCACAATTCCACTTCATCTATAAAAAAAATACCTAGATCTACCAAGTATCAGAGGGGTAGCCGTGTTAGTCTGAATCTGCAAAAGCGACAAGGAGTCCTGCGGCACCCTTTTAGACTAACAAATTGCTTGGAGCATAAGCTTTCGTGGGCAAAGACCCACTTTGTCTTTGCCCACCAAAGCTTATGCTCCAATAAATCTGTTAGGGTACGTCTAGACTACAGGGTTTTGTCGAAGGAAGTTTTGTCGATAGATACTATCGACAAAACTTCTGTTGACATAGAGCGTCTAGACACATTCAGTTGTGTTGACAAAGCAAGCTGCTTCGTTGACAAAACCCTGTAGTCTAGACGCAACCCTACAGGCAATAACACCTTCTGTCGACAGAACTCTGTCGACAGAAGGTGTTATGCCTCGTAAAATGAGGTTTACCAGTGTCGACAAAACTGCTGAGTTCTGTCGACGTTATGTCGACAGAACTCAGTGGTAGTGTAGACGCAGGTATAGTTTTGTCGACAAAAGTCCACTTTTGTCGACAAAACTCAGTAGTCTAGACACACCCTGTGTCTATAAGGTGCCACAGGGCTCCTCATTGCTTTTCTAGATCTACCAGTTAGAAAACTTCTGTTGACATAGAGCGTCTAGACACATTCAGTTGTGTTGACAAAGCAAGCTGCTTCGTTGACAAAACCCTGTAGTCTAGACGCAACCCTACAGGCAATAACACCTTCTGTCGACAGAACTCTGTCGACAGAAGGTGTTATGCCTCGTAAAATGAGGTTTACCAGTGTCGACAAAACTGCTGAGTTCTGTCGACGTTATGTCGACAGAACTCAGTGGTAGTGTAGACGCAGGTATAGTTTTGTCGACAAAAGTCCACTTTTGTCGACAAAACTCAGTAGTCTAGACACACCCTGTGTCTATAAGGTGCCACAGGGCTCCTCATCGCTTTTCTAGATCTACCAGTTACATGTAACCTAAACACAAAACATTTCTCATTTAAGAATATAGCGCAATTCCTCCCTTGCCTCCTTTTTTTCCTCTGAGATTGATTGCTACAAAGGCAGAAATATAAGATAACTGGAAATCTTAATGTAGTTGTTTGTCTTTAAGAGCTTACCTTTTTGGTAAGTGACTTATCTTGCTATTTCTTTTTTGTTGTTTCCACTGTCAGGAGTAGAATCTACTACAGAAGGAAAAGGATGAAAAGATGGATGACTTTTCACTACCGTGTCCTAACAATTTCCGCCAGTTCACACGTGAATCTTTGGCTGCCATTGAAAAAAGAATTGCCGCCAACAAGAAATGCAAAGACCACCAACCTAAAGAGAAACTTCGACCACAACTTGACCTGCAAGTTTTTCAGAAGCTGCCTACTCTCTATGGAAATCCTCCTCAGGAGCTTGTTGGGAAACCATTGGAGGATCTTGATCCTTATTACAATGATCACAAGGTCAGAGTCAGTTTATGCCAAGGGGTCAAATTTCATCCCTCCCTGATCATTTATCAGTAGAGAGGTTTTTCTGGTTTAGGTGTCGGATCTAAATCTGACATTTGCTTCCTTGGAATAATTGCTGTAAAACAGTTGTATTCAATTAGATTATTATAAAAAAGACATCATACTTTGAATACTAAGTGATTGTGTAATAAAACCTTAGTTTTAAACCAGGGCTACTTAACATGTGGCCCATTTGTTTGCGGCCAGTGGGTAGGAGCTAAAACAGAAAAGGATTCGATATAATGGTCTTCAGTTGATATGCATTTAGTAGTTACATTCCTGGACTGTCATTGCTCATTAAAAGTGCTGTCAGATGGGTGGAAATCAAGTAGATACTGCATTTTATTAATATCAGCAAAACTGACTTAAATGAGGCTGGCATGTTGTGTAGTCGTGCCTTAATTTTTATATTCATGCCCGTCAGTGTGAAAGAAGATATTTGCATATATATGCAACCACACTTAAATTGCGGCCCTGAGCATGTGCTGTGAGTATCATTGTGGCCCCCAGGGCTTCCAAAGTTGAGTAGTCCCGTTTTAAACCCTACTAATCATAGAAAATGAAATTAATCAGAGTGAGGGACATACACGATTTACATACTGCTTAAGCCCTACAAGTAGGGCTTAGGTAGGACTTAGGAGGTATATGTTAGCCCTTTAGACATGGATGAATGTCACCAGCACTGCATATAACACAGGATGCAGTCTATAAAAATCTAGTGCTGCATGGTAACTAAAAACAGAATTATTGTTTTTTATCTAAAGTGTCTTCCACTATATGTAGGCTGAATCAAAACAACTACATTATGTACAGCTTCTCTCTATATGCTAGGAACCATAACTATTTAATATAGTCTATTTTCAAATGTTACATATTTTAATGAGGAAATGCTGCGTGTAAGCATATGCTTTTTTCAGAACCATCTGTTCTTCCAAGATCAAAATTATTTCTAGAATATATTTTAGATTTTAAATATGAACCCAGCTCTCTCACATCCCAGGCTATTTGCTGTACCAGGATGGTTTGTTCTAATTCTCCTTGTTTAAATAATAAAATATCAGTGGCATAGAGACTTGTGTTCATAACTCTGGCATTCTAGATGGGTGCCAAGACCAATGGGCAATGAAGTCACCCCCCTCTGGCCCAAATACTGTTTAATTATTTATATTTAGTGGAACAGCTCTAACAGGAGAGAATGAATAAGGGAGACAGATTGAATGTAGACCCACTGTTAGGATATTATAATCAAAATTAGAGAGCAAGAGGAGAAAAATCCTCCCTGGATCTGAGACATTTTCCTGATTAAAGTTCATAGGAAAAATTTCAGATTTGACAAATCTATATATTTCAATGAAAAATTGTTTTGTTGAAAAATTCATGATCAACCCTCCTGTCAATGTTAGTGAGTGAGTGCTGAGTCAGTCGTTATGCAAATAAAGACCTTGATTAAAGGCCCAGTTCCTGGAAATGCACTCAAATGTTATATAATTTAGAGAGTTAGTGCATCTGTCTATGTGTCTGTCTGTCTGTTTGGGAGTCTATCTGTTAAAGAACTCCTAAACGGTAAGAGCTAGTGCTACCAGATTTGCTATGCAGCTTCCTCTTATCCTAACTGAAAGCAAGGGCAGGGTTTGATTGTGCCAGGGTAATGGGATGTGTGTGAAATTCTATTGTTTCATATCAAACAGAAAGGGAGTGGTGTGATAGCAGGGGCAGTCATTCTCACAAATTACCACAAGATTGCAGCAAGCACCCCTGACCCATGGAGCAGCCACCCACCATGCTGTGTGGCCCCCACTCTCTAAGCCAGCCCTTTAAATCATCCTACAGCAGCTGTCCACCTTTCTGTGTGGCCCCCACTGCTCTGGGCCAGCCCTGGAGAGCAGCCAGTGAGGCCTTCACTCACCCTGGCCACCCTTGGAGAGAAGGCAGTGGGCAGCCTGCATGCCCCCCCTACCCCAAGCTGGCCCCAGTGAAAAGCTGGCAGATGGGCTGCATGGCTCCCACTTTCCTGGACTGGTCCCGGACCAATACGTCTTTTACTATACATACACACTTCACTCACATGAATAACCCCATTTACTTTAATGAGAATGCTAACATGACAAAATGACTTAAATGCACATTTTGTGGGATCAGGGCTAAAGGAAGAAGTTTCATAGTGAGAACTTCCAATTCAGTAATAAATTGCCTAAATTTACCTCTAGAGTACACAATATTTTTTACTGAAACTTTAAAAATGTGCAGTACAAATATATAGCAAAGCAAGAAAACAACCAACAACAATTATTAGGAATCTTTTAATTTAAACAAACAAACAAACAAAAATTAAGTTAGGAATCAAACTTTTATATATAAGTATTTGCACAGCTCTGGCCAACAGTAGAAACCCTTAATGTCCACAGTTCATTTTCTGGAACAGTTTGACTAATTAAAATTGCCTCTTTTTTCCTTAAAGACATTTATGGTACTGAACAAAAGGAAAACGATCTTCCGATTTACTGCCACACGTGCCTTGTGTATACTTAGCCCTTTTCATCCCATCAGAAGAGCAGTGATTACAATTTTGGTACATTCATATCCTTTCAGTTGGTTTAACTCAGTTTAGTTTTTTTTTATAATGGGTCTAATATGGGTATTGTACTATGTGTGTCATATTTAGAACATATCCTAGATCTAACCTGTTTCTATAAGCAACTGCATACCTGTTCCAGATAACTGCATAGATAATTATGAATTATTTTAGAAATGATTGTTGCGGCGGTCGCATCGGTCCTGACAGCTGGGGCCCTTCCAGGTTAGGAGCTGGTTTGGTCCATCCTTCCCCTTCGGCTGCCAGCCCTGCACAGCCGTGAGGGTGGGGCAGTCTCCGCCAGCTGGATCCTCTCAGCCAGCTGGGCCCGGCCCATAGGCTCCCTTAAGGTGCAGGGCGGGGCTGCCCCGTCACAGCATCCCAGAATCATGTTTGCTTTTTTTGCAACAGCATCACACTGCTGACTCATATTCAGCTTGTGGTCCACTATGACCCCTAGATCCCTTTCTGCCGTACTCCTTCCTAGACACCCCACTTGTTATACCTTTCCAGCAGGATTGTGGAACGTTAATAACTACTCTCTGAGTACGGTTATCCAGCCAGTTATGCACCCACCTTATAGTAGCCCCATCTAAGTTGTATTTGACTAGTTTATTGATAAGAATATCATGCGAGACCGTATCAAATGCCTTACTAAAGTCTAGGTATACCACATCCACCACTTCTCCCTTATCCACAAGACTCATCCTATCAGAGAAAGCTATCAGATTGGTATGACATGATTTGTTCTTTACAAATCCATGCTGGCTGTTCCCTAACACCTTGCCACCTTCCAAGTGTTTACAGATTATTTCCTTAATTAGATACCATCTGGGAAAGCATAAGATACAAGTTTCAGTACTTCTTGACTTTTTTACAAATATCATTCTGGGATATATAAACAGAAATGTTGTAAGCAATTCTTAATTCTTCTGGTCTACTCGGCACTGATTAGGCCTCAGTTGGAATAATTCATCCGGTTCTGGATATTTCATTTCAGAAAGGTAGTGGACAAACTAGAAAAAGTCCAGAGAAAAGCAACAAGAATGATTAAAGGTCTAGAAAACATGACCTACAAGGAAAGATTGAATGAACTGGGTTTGTTTAATCTGTAAAAGAGAAGACTGAGAGGGGACATCAGCTTTCAAATACCTAAAAGGTTGTTACAAGAAGGATGGAGGTTGAACATTAGGAAAAAAATTCCTAACGGTCAAGGTCATAGGATTTTAAAAATGGTGTATTTTATGATTTCAGATCTTTAAATTGAAATTTGATGGTGTTTGTAGTTGTAGGAGTCCTGACCCTAAAAAGAATGGTGGGGAGTCTCAAGATCATTGTAGCGGGGTTGCAGTACTCTTACCCTTACTTCCATTCATCTGCTAGCAGCAGCATTGCCTTCAGAATTGGACAGCTAGAAAGTGGTGACTGCTGGCCACAATTTTCCTAAAATAACCTTGTGATCCCCCTGCAACTCCCTTTTGGGTCAGGACCACCACTTTAAAAAGGCTGGTCTCCTCCATGAAATTTGCTCAGTCTAGGTTAAAAGCATACAAAAGTCCAGATTTCATGGGAGGACTTTAGATTTCATGGCCTCTGTGAAGAGATAGTATGCATGGCTCTTGAACAATGCACGGAAGGTAATTCATTTGATGGTAAGTTCTCCAGGAGGTGGGGTGGGACTCGCATTGGTAGGCTAGCCAAGTTCAGGCACGTCCCTTCGCCAACAGGGCTGCCTGTGTTCAGGTCCATGGTGCAGCTAATGGGTACCATCTGTCCTCTGCACATTCTCCACAATCGAGTGTGCATGGATCACATCTGTTTTGTGGTAACTGTATGTACTTACCTCTCTGTACCAATTGCAAGTGGGGATCCATACCAGCAGGATCACTGAGTTGTACTCAATGCTGTTGCAGATCCATGTGCATAGTAGAGCAAACCCCTTGCACCACCATCAGGATCAAGCCCATAGTTACTCCAGTATTAAAAACAATGTCAGTGCTATCAGAAGCAGTCCTCTGCATTTTGTTCCTTGCTTTTTCCCTGTTAACTTGGACAAAATACTTAACCTTTTTTATTTCTTCATCTGTAAAAAGGGCATATTATGATACTTGCCTCATGAAGAATTCATTGTTATTACCATTACTTGTACTGCAGTAGTGCCCAAGGGCCCCAGCTAGATGTAGTACAAACACAAAGTTACAGTTCCTGCCTGAGGAGTTTCTAATATAATTTAAGACAGGACTCCATAAATGAGTGTAACAAGATGTACAAAGGGTGAAAAATGGTAGAAGGAGAGCATTGCGGCTGAATTCCCCAACCTGGCACTTCAAGTGTAGGTTAGCAAAATAAAAACACTGTCTGATCCTGTCTCTGCAGTTTCCGGAGACAAAAAAGTTTTCCTGATTTCAGTTTCCCCTGAAATCCATTGGTACTGCCACCACCAAGTGTACAAATCCTCTTTTCCAGGGAAGAAATTACTTGGAATATTTTCCTTGAGGGCAACCCCCCAAGGAGTTGAAAAAAACCAAGCAAGACTACCCTCAGAAAGAACAATGAAACTGTGTGCTCTCTGGTAATGTGTCTGAAGCCAGGCATGTAAGTTTAAGGACATGAAAGATCAACCAGTACTTGAACTCCATTTTTATGATTAAAACAAGACTATGGTTGCATGCATAGTAAATGACTTGGCGTTAAAAGCCCTGAACTGAAGCCAAAGCTCAGGGATTCTCTCTGGGATTACTTCTTCGTTACAGGAGAGAAAAAAAGAAAAATTAACCAGCTCAGACATAATTTCCAAACCCCAAAAATGAAAACAATAAATCTCATGGACTACCTAGACTTTTTGCTACTTGGACATTCTGATGAACCCAGGGAATCTATTTGGGGAGAGCTCATTTCTTCCCTCTGTAGCTGGAGAAGATCCCAGTCTCTTTCTTTCTTTAACAAAGGAGACTGCTGCCCTCAGTTTGAAATTTTTTAGCTGCATTGGGTCAATGCCCAAAGCTTCCTTCTTCTTATGCAGAGTAACTTAAAGTTAGCTTACCCCTTTCCTTGCTCTCCAGGTAAATTTAGGCTCTCCTTTGCAGCTTCCATTCATGACAGAGGGTAGTACCAAGCAATAATACTTTCCATGCATCTTCTTGAACAAACTATTCTTGGGTGAGGAACAATGATTTTCTGGCTCAAGCATTGAACTGGGACAATCACATCTGGGTTCATTTCACATCTGTCAATTATACGAGCATGTCATTTGAGCCCAGAAATGCAAACTTATTTAGGTTCCTAATTTCTATTGAAGTCTTAATATCATTGTGGATCTGGCTCTTTGTCTTCCTATATAAAAGCGGAGGATAAAAATCAATCCTGATTGATTTCTTATTTGTTTAGACTGAGCTATTTGGGGGTAAAGATGGTCTCTTATTAAGTTTTAAACATAATGCCTACTGCTTGAGTGGACTGTGGTCTAACATCAACATGATAACATACAAATGGAACTGTTAATTATGTCCTAGAAAACAAAAGATATATCAGCAGTGGCTTAAACACTTTTTGTATTAGCACATTGTTCTGATTAAACTGTAATGTTTTTACCTTAACTCCTCCTACATTGTTCACAGTTTTCATTATGTGCACTATTTTAGCCAATTGTGTTTTCATGGCTATTTCTGAGACTCCTAAGAATTCTAAGTTATTTGCATCTTCTTTATGGAAAAAATATGTTGAGTAAGTATTTATATAGGAATTGTTCCCTTATTTTCTAATTCTTCAGAATTACTGCTTTGTGGATATAAAGCCAGCTTCTGTTTTCATTTCCTAGACTGTAAATCCAGAAGCTTCAGAAGGGTAGATGAGTTAGTCAATAACTGGAAAAATTTATAAAACAATGAATAGTCTTGCAGCACCTTACAGACTAACAAAACATTTAGATGGTATCATGAACTTTCACGGGCACAATCAATTTCTGCATTCAGCTGAGGCAGTGGGTTGTGCCCACAAAAGCTCATCATACCATCTAAATGTTTTGTTAGTTTCTAAGGTGTTGTAAATCCAGAGTAACTCTTTGGAGTCACTCTGGATTTTCAGTGGGGTAAAAAAGCAGAATCCACCATTTAGTGCCAAAAAAGTGCTAAATTCTTTTCATTATCTTTTGTCCACATTTAATTTATTGGAATCCTAAAATCATCTCTTAATTTTTACACATTTTTACTGAGGCAAGTCTCCAATCAATGCCATGGTTGCTGAAGGCTTTTTCTATACTGCAACTTGAATGACAACATTTTGTCATTCACAGGCCTTTCCCCTAAAAGACAAAAGTTCTGCTGCCGCAAGAGGCAGTGTGAATGGCTTGTTGTCAGCAGTTAGCTTTTTTCAACATTCTTTAAAGAAAATTCTACGAGATGCACAAAGTGAACATACAATGCATTAAACAGCCATTTTGGAAACTAGAACGGTTGACAACGTGGAATATTGTCAAAAAATTCAAATTGATGGTGATTTAAGATGTCCAACCTGAGACACTTCAAAATTTTAGCAAACAAAAATTTGTCAGAGGTAAGCAAGTATACTGCAGGCACCAATGCTTCTAGCCACATGAAGATTGTTGGCAGCTAATAGCTCAAGTTAACTATAGGAGTTAAGTCCTAATCCAATGCCCACTGAACTCAATGTGTGTGGGGGGAGGGATTCCATTTCTTTAATTTGGGGGCACTGGATCAAGTTCTTGGGTCAAAGAGATAGCACAAAGTGAGTAAACTGGACGCGCCATATAACCTCCTCCATTAATGGCTAATGGTCTCACATTTCTTGGATACTTTACTCTCCAGGTACATTTTCACTGGCATTTACACTTTTGAATTATTGATAAAAATATTGGCAAGCGGATTGTGTCTGAATGAATTCACTTTCCTTCGAGATCCATGGAATTGGTTGGATTTCAGTGTGATTATTATGGCGTAAGTAAGAACATATACATTTTAAAGAGCTATCATGCAGCTAATTTATTTTTGCTTGTGTTTATTTTCCCTAGAACTTCTCACTGAAGTGTTATATTGTGACCTTAAGACACAACATCGTAAGGAGTGATAATTGTATTTAGGGCTCCTGCAGTCCCTTCTTTGAATGGTATATGGCAGGGGTTCCCAAACTTTTTGACACGGGGACCAGTAAATCCATTCACAAGCTTTTGGAGGACTGGTAACATTCATTTGCATATTTGCATATTCATTAAGCAAATGATGAATATTCAAATACATTGTTTCTGGTCCTCCCAAAGCCCCCAGTGCTAGCGTTAGCAAAGCTTTTGATACAGTCACCCACAATATTCTTGCCAGCAAGTTAAGGGAATATGGATTGGATAAATGGACTGTAAGATGGAAAGAAAGCTGGCTATTTCAGGGTTTCCCAAACTTTTTACTTTAGTTGGAAACCATTTTTTTCAGTACTGTTTTTTTGCAGCCCAAAAATATAAATGCATATACAAAAAAGCATTAAAAATGAATAAATTTTCAGTGTTTCACCCAGCTGCATCCTCCGCCCAGCCTGGGCCAGGGCTTGGGGACCTGGTGCTGCATGGGCACTCCAGGAGGTGGGAGCAGGAGCAGATTGGGGGTAGAGTATCTGGCTAGAAGGGAGGGTGCAAGGAGGGGTAAGGTTGCCAGGTGTCCAGTTTCATACTGGATAGTCTGGTATTTAAAGCTTCTGTCCGAGAAACAAATTGAGAAAATAACAGACATATAAAATGTC